ACCCCTGAAACCCTAAAACCCTAGAGCCAAGATGAGTAGTTATATGTGAACAAACTTATCCTAAAACCCCTGAAAGCCTAAAACCCTAGAGCCAAGATGAGTAGTTATATGTGAACAAACTTATCCTAAAACCCCTGAAAGCCTAAAACCCTAGAGCCAAGATGAGTAGTTAGTTAGTGACAGGGGTATATGTGAACGAACTTAAACAGTGACCTATGTGAACCAACCTATACTAATGGTAGGTGTTCATTAACAATGACCTATGTGAACAAACTTATACTAATGGTAGGTGTTCATTAACAGTGACCTATGTGAACAAACTTATACTAATGGTAGGTGTTCATTAACAGTGACCTATGTGAACAAACTTATACTAATGATAGGTATTCATAAACAGTCACCTATGTGAATGGTCTTATACAAATAAAATTATTCATCAACAGTGACCTATGTGAACAAACTTATACTAATGGTAGGTATTCATTAACAGTGACCGACGTGAATGGTCTTATACAGTGGCAAGTATTCATTAACAGTGACATAAGTGAATGATCTTATACTAATGGTAGGTATTCATAAACAGTGACCTATGTGAATGGCTTTAGCGTTTTTAGGTATCTAGAGTGATTAGTTTCGTCCCGAAAACGTCGCAGACGCTCACTATATGTGGGTGCCCTAGTGTTGTGGAAAGTGTAACTCACCGTTCTCCACGGGATCGTCTAAGCCAATCTGTGGCATTTTAAGTTCCGAACTTCTCAGCACATCGAGCAGACGAGTGCTATACTTCCAGTACTGAATGCTCAACGGAGAACAATCCTGTCCCTGTGATGCAGTTGATATATAAGACCACAAATGAGGTGGGAGCAGCCATATAGAACATGCGCAAGCGAGTACCATGTTGGGTTACAGGAGAAAATCGTTTACAAACACACACATACACACAAACAAACACACACACACACACACACACATATATATATATATATATATATATATATATATATATATATATATATATATATATATATATATATATATA